AATTCTGGGTTCAGTAAAAAGGGTTGGTGCATATTATTAGATAATGAATCCGTTAACGCAAAAGATAAAGTCAAATATCATTTCTCGCAGCACTTTAGCTTATCGTTAATCTGAAACTTAAGTATTTTCAAGGAAATTTTAATTGTTCTCTTGATAATTGCACTGGCCTATAGTCAAAAGATGTGATGAACAGCATTAATATTGCTGGCGTGCATTTAGATCGGTAGTTCCAAATATTCTAATCTTTTTTTAATATTAGCTATAGTTTGCGAATTTTTGCAAATTTAGGAACAATTTCGGTAGCTCTAATAGAATAGCCATTATTTTCCATCATCGTGGAAAAATTTTGTTTATGCAAATGAGTATGGAAACACTGAACAGGCACAACTTCTCGAAACACTAATTAGTTTACTTATGTTTATGCATACAATTTAAAAATTGCAAATATAGCAAAATGACAAAAAAAAAATTTGTTAACATTTTTTTTATATTAAAATAACTGGTTTATAATCTGAACGATTTTCATCACATTATTATCATAAATCAGTAACAGTAAGTCTCGCCTTCAATGTGTTAATTATTACGTACCGATCGAGTAACATTTACCAAAGTTATATCGAAAAACTTAAGTGGCTCTCCAGTTTTTTTCTAAAAAAAAATATCTTCAATTGTATAAATAACCTTTAAATAAAAGAATCGGATTACAGAAAACTGTGCCAGCGAGTGACTTTTTTCGTTCAAGCTGAATGCAAAGCAATATCGTCCAATTGGAGAGTCCTCAAAAGGATTTCCCAGGACTTTTTCACATAATGGAATTAACTAAAATATTTATGTATATCTAAAGACTTATTGCACGTCCCCTACTTTCATATAACGGCAAATTTAGAAACCGCGAAAAATGTGCTTCTTCGGCGACTAATGAAACCATTCCGCACCAGTTTTCAAGACTGCAAAAATGGACTTAAAATGGGCGTTTCTCACCCTAATTGTAGTATGCTAATGTATGTTAATTCTTATATGTTTGAAACTACTAATAACTTGTCAAACGATTCCTAATCTTTGACAATACATTCATTCACCACGATCTTGAAAACTGACCAAATCGGCGTGACTAAGTCTATGGTCCCTCTAGTATTACATAAACATCCGAAAACATTAAACCGTTTCAAATAAATCTCGTCTCACTTGTTTGTATTTTTCACTTGGTTGCTGAGGTAATGAAGAATTTAATATTCATAAGGGAAAATTATAGTTTTTGTAAGTTTTATCTTGATATCTTAAAAACTTGTAGACTTATTGAAAAATGATATATGAACGTGAGGTACTAAATTTAATAGCCCTTAATTTGATATATCACCCTTTTTATAACAATAAGTCATTCCATAGATATTACAAGCCAAAATTTCATTTTCGAAATTCATACACTTTGATTTAATTGCTCGGGCTAAAGATAAGTGTTAAATTAATCTTTCTTGGCCAATAACAATTGGCTTAGGCCTAAAACATCATAATATTACTATTACAATGCGGTCAAATGACTTTTATTTTCCCCCATACAAAATCGGCCCAGCCTATTACCTATATCTATTAGTAGTAACCAACCATTTAAGCACTAGAACAGGAAATTGCTTATGTTATTTTCAAAATTAACAGCTCCTTCAGGCGGTGAAAATATTTATCCGCGGATATATACATACTTGATCTAAGGGAACAAAAAAAACCATGAGGCGCCAAATCATGACTGTACGGCGGCCTTGTGCTCTTTTTTAGCAAAACAAAAAACTTTAGAAAACCAAAGTAGAAAGTGCAGCAAATTTCTTAAGAACTGTGTACTGCCTTAAAGAAATTTTACACAAGAAAATTTCATAGCCATTTATTGTACGTCATTTTATATGGAGTTTTGGCTTTTCTTGAGAGCTGCATACACTGGCCTTTAGCCAAAATTCGTCCAAATTAAAAATGGTCGATTCGACTTTGATTGACCCATACATATACAAATGAGACCATGAGAGAGTGTCTACAAGTACAACAATACAAAATAAACATTAAGAGATAATATACGCATAAATCTAAGATCTTCCTTGCACTTACATATATATTGATACTTTTCACATCTTTACATTTAAGACATATACACACATTTTTGCAAAATTTTCGATAGGCTAATCTCGACCTCATGACATCATACATGCATACATATCGCGTCTGCATGCCAGAAACATGAATGTGTAAAAATTAAAATTTAGGGATATCAAGTTTGAAAGTTTTTCTGGGTTTTGGTATAACATAGAACATCCAAAGATTAATCAATTCAAACCAATAACTCAAAATTGGTAAATTTGCACATTCACGCTTCTGGCATAAGGTTGGCGATATCTTCTCCTCATACATACAGTATCGGTCATATCTATAGCGCGCCATTTCAAAGTGATATTGTGTGCCACTTATGTTTATTTATTTATTTTTAAGAATTTTCAATTAAAATACAGTTCTTTCTCTAACAAAACCCATATAAACCCAAGTTTAAAAACTTATAGAAAACTACAAAAAAGTGCAACAAATTTTCACCTAAATTTCAAACTTTTTTCTCGGAAGTGTTTGAATTTTTCTGAATACACAGTTTTATAGCCCAATCAATTTTAGTCTGATATTGTGCAAGTTTCAAGTGGCTAAAAGTTACCGCTGATTTTTTAGATTTTTCTTCGCCAAGGATGTTGCGGTTTTCTTCCATATACAAATAAATTTAGTTTATTCATTATATAGAAGCCAATGCGACAAAAAAAAATTCTAAAAAATTAAAGGTAATTCGTAGCCACTTGAAATTTGCACATTATCAGACTAAAATTGCAGGGGCTAAAAAACTGTGTACTCAAAAAAATTCTATCACTTCCGAGAAAAAAGTTTGATATTTGGGTGAAAATTTGTTACACTTTTTTGTAGTTTTCTACAAATTGTTGAACTTGGATATATATGGGGTTTGTCCGAGAATGAACTAAATTTTAATTGAAAATTCTTAAAAATAAATAAATAAACATAAGTGGCACACAATATCACTTTGAAATGGCGTGCTATAGATATGACCGATACTGTACATGCATACATACATACATATGACGCAGTTTCCGGTTATAGCTAAAAGCTTCTAAAACTTTTGATTAAACAATAGCAGCTGAACATTCCAATACCATTCCTGAAAGTTTTAAATAGAATTAAAAAATAAAAAAAACTGGGGAAAGAATTAAAACATTCCTTTTCCAAAAACAAAAAAAATTCCAAATGGAATATAAATATTCATGTGCGAAAAAAGTGCATTCATACGCAAAATAATATTTAAAAAAACCCGACACCGACTATGACAATTACCTCCGTTTTCCGTTGCTAAATATTTTTTTTTTTCGCATTCTACCACATCAACACAGACAAAAGCGATTACGACTACAAACGCGCGAATATGTTGCCGCATATGTTGCCGGACAAGCGCGCCCATACAAAGCTCGAAGGAAGTGTAGCATGAGCGGAGGAGCACAATGCACAAAAGAGGATATGTAGTATGAGCGAGTGAGGGTGCGGTAAAATGCAGCCATTATGCGAGCGTGAAATTCATTTAATTACCCCCCTACCACCGCATAGCGTGAAAGTCATATTCGAATGCAGGGAATTCATGTGCTTTTTATTATTTTTTATTTTTTTGGTTTGGTTTGGTTTGTTGTATTCGTTTGCGTCGTTTGCCTTTTGCATACCCGCAGTACATTTTTACATTTTTACAGTTGCATATTTGCTGGCTTTTCACCGCTTTTCTTGTGCTTTGCACACAAAGAGGTTTAATGGCATAGCTTTTAGCGTTACACACATAAATACAAATGTGCATACATACCTAAGTATATTAGGGTGCAACACCATCGTAACGAAAAAAAACTGTACTCTTTTTCCAACCGAGTTATAAAATTTATTATATTTTAACACTTCTGCGAAATATTTCGTAAAAATATTTGGATTAATGTGAGCTGTACCTATCTGAAAATAGTTCCGAAAATTGGGTTTTTTTTATAAATTAAATAAGATTTTAAAAATATTTTTGTTCCAGCATCTGTGGGGATTTTTTGGAACAAAAAATGTCTAACTAATTTTTTGATTTTGAGGTTTTTTTTAATTAACTAATTTTATGAACAAAAAAAATTCGATTTTTGAAGGAAATTTCCGAAATATTTTGGCAGAAGTCATAAAATTTAATAATTAAATTAAGTGTATTAGGATGCACCAATACATATACATAAAAAAAGTCGGTACTACATATTTTTTCCACGTAGTTATAAAATTGGCTATATTTTTAGAGTTTTGCTAAATATTTCGTAAAAATATTTGGATTAACGTTTTTAGAATTTATTTTTTTAATTAAATTAATTAAATTAATTAATATTTAAACTAATTTAATAAAATTCTTTTTTAACTCTTCTACTATCTGTGGTGACATTTTGCAAAAAAAAAAATGTTTTACTAATTTTTTCGATTTTGATTATTCTTTGGCAAAAAAAAATCGTTTAACGTAATTTTTTGTATAAAAAAAAACTATTTTTGAAAGTATTTTCATTTTTAAGCGGAAGTCTCAAAATATATTAAGTTGCATAATTTCGGTGGGAAAACCGCAAATGGTTGGGGAGGCACCCTAAAGTAGATACATATGTATATATTTCGTTGTTGGTTGAGTGCGTCTGTCATGCCATGTGTGCGTGTAGTTATTTGCGTGTATATGCAGAAAAAGTGTGTAAGCCTTACATTTTAATGCATTCACTTTTGCAGATCTTTACAGCTTATGTTTAAAGTCCATACAGCTTAACCAATAACATATTTTAGCGTAAAATATTTCAACGCATTTTTGCAGCACATTCCCATACGTACGTTTCGCGGTGCTCTTGCTTTCATACATATGCTTATTTTATTCATAAATGTACTTTCATTCATGGTATTTCTGTCTTCTTCATTTTCATATTTTCTACTTGCAGGTGATAAAACGCCACCCGGTTTTCCGGTTATAACTCAGGGTCCCAGCACACGGGTAATCGAAGTCGGTCATACGGCGGTAATGCAATGCAAAGCCATTGGTAATCCAACACCCACAATCTACTGGATTAAGAATCAGACAAAGGTCGATATGAGCAATCCACGCTATTCGATAAAAGATGGTGAGTACAGAGGGGTTGAGGGTATAAACTTTTATAAATGCGCGAATACATGCAAATGTACTTATTCAGATGTACACACATACATACATAGTTGAGCGTGGTATGTGTTTGTTTGTATTAGCAAATTTTTGATGCCGCCGTGCGCACCCCGGTCGTCATATTTTAACTACCAACGCCTGCCGTATTTGCCACATTTCATTTTTTTATTATAAAGCCGTTTTTTATGCTACTCTTAGTTTGCATATGGTTATGGCATATTTACAGGCGTGCATATGCATGACTTTGATATATAACGTTTTTTTTTCAGTCTTTTATTTTCAGCCATTCTCTTCATTTATACAGTCGTCTTTCACGACCGTAATTAAATTCAAGGTAGTTAAAATGTAGTAAAGTGGCATTTTTTAAAAGAGTTAATGCATACTTTTCCAGTAGATTGCGGCTAAAATAATAAAAACGACTAGTCGTCATGTCTTACTTGAGTTACAACCCTTAAATCGCAGACTAAGAGCAATTTTAATTGGAATCTATGTAGGAAGAAAGAAGATGAATGCGTGAGTGCTAAATCGGATAACCCTCGCTTTGTCGGGACAATAAATTCTTGCACCACCCTTATGTAGGTAAGGTTAAGTTATTCTAAGGTGGCTGCTACTGTGCACGAGCACGCAGGTACACGTAGGCTGAAAAGCCCCATTGTAATATAGCTGGAAGAAGTCAATTATTTCCTTTCTTGCCCTAGAAATTAAAGCAAACGCGCGACTGAAGTGAAACTCCTTCCTATTCCAATTGTCAATTCTGGCAACTATCTTGAAAGCTCTAACTGTCTTTCTAAAGACTTATTGAAAGATTTACTAACCAGGAGCTCTTAGCGTTATGCTGTTCGCCTTTAAGCAAAAAGTTTTTCAAAAATTAAATTAAATTAAAAAAAAAAAAATATAAAACAAAAGACAATTTTATTAAGAAATGAATAAAAAAAACAAAATGGATACAAAGCAAAAATAAATAAACTATATTTTTAAAAATTAAATGAAATCATAATTTTTTTCTTAATACAGTGAAATCTAAAAATTAAATGAGAAAAAGAAAAAACGAAGAATATTGTAATCAAAAGTTAAATAAAATTTAAAAATAAATATTTTTATTTTGTTAAACTGAATCTGCGAATCAAAAGAACTTTTAATTAAAAAATAAAATTAAATTAAATAATATCCTAGCAATTAAATTTAATAAAAAAAATATTTTTTATTTTAAAACAGTAACATTTAAAAACTATAAGAAAATTAAATTTTCGAAAGAATAACATATTTATTTTAAAAACAAAAAAAAATCAAATAAGTTCCTAAAAATTCAACTAAATTTAGAAACTATTTGTTTTTAAGAATAAGATCTAAAATTTAGAGATAATTAAACCGAAAAGAAAACAATATAATTTAAAAAAGGAAAAAATAAATAACTTCCTAAAAATGAAATGAAATTAAAAAAGTATTTTTTTTTTAAACAATAACTAAACATTAAAAAAATTAAATTGAGGGATAAAAAATAAATAAATTAAAAAATAAACAAAATAAATAAAATAACTTTCTAAAAAATTTATGAAATAAAAAACTTTAATTTTATTTTAAAAGAATAAAATTTAAAAGTTAAAAGAAAAATGGATTAAGAAAAGAAAAAAATATGTAAATAAAAATGTCGCTCCCTTAGACTCGCACGCTGATCTCTGAATGGCACGCCTGTGATTTGCGCACTCGGCCATTGCAACTGTTGGAGCGGCTCGAGCTAAATGGTATACAAGTGCTTTATTTCGAAATAGCTTTTCACCACGAGTGGTGAAGAGACCACTTTTCTTCCAGCCACTACACCACAGCGGCTCTCAGTGTCCGGTTATTACCGCTGCTATAAATCTATCAGAAGAGCGAAGACACCCGGGTAAGAGCTTTTGATCGACTTACAACAAAATTTTTGCCAAATTTGCCTGCTAGCCCAACAGGTGGATTCTTCAGTCTTTATTTTGAGTTCACAGTAGCTTAAAGGTATGCCCCCGTCTTAAGCAGAGTTGACTATAGATATTTGCGTCGCTTTCTTAGCCAACTCATCGGGCTTGCGGTTGCTAAGAATATTCCTGTGCACAGGCACCCATGCAATAGCCAAGGAGCACTGAGATGCCTGCAGGTTGAGAATATTTCTGTATTCTATTGCTGCTTTAACGGGAGTTTCTATGGGATTTAGAGATATTGCTAGGCCGTTCTAGAAGAGCGGAAGCTACGGCGCTACGCTCTCCCTTAAAACGCTAAAGTGATCCAGTAAGTAAAGACTAAGGTTTAGTGTGAGTTCAATTATGTGAACCACGCTGCCTACTTTTTCGTTTAGCTTTGAACCATCGACCCTGAGTCTTTAACTCTGGCACCTTTCCATTCCTTGCTCTCTGGAACCTTTTGGAGAATTTTTTCTCTAAACAGAGTAGAGGAATAGTATAGTCTGGTGGTCGTAGATTATTCGGCTGAGTTCCCAGAACACTTGCGTGTTCGAATCTGGCATCTCTACGGCTGGATCGTACTTATCCTTGCAGCGCTACAATTGTATGAATATTTAAAATTAATTGCAGAGATAGTTCTCCCGCGACAAGCATGGACGCCGTCCAGGTAAGCCGAAACTCCTACTACTTTACTACGAAATATGTTTAAAATTAAATTAGTGTTTCGTGTCTGGTCCTTACAATTATTTTCTGGGTATATAATACATCGCTTCCTGAGATTTCTTTGAAGTTCTCTTGTGAAGAAATTAGACAAAGTCTACGTTAGCTAGGCAGCTAAAGCGAATGCAATTATTCGCTCTTATTAAAATCATTTGGTCACATTGGCGCCCCCTCCCCGACTATAGATCCTTAAGTCGTGCTAAATATGTTTGCTGTTAAAGTTGCTGCAGGAGGCGCTAAGATCAGACTTAAGTGCATGGATGCTTTTTTGAATGAAGTAGGAGTTTGCTAAACAACTTTTTGGAAGCTTCGACTTCATCCTTAATAACAGATTTCACTGAGTATCAAGGCGCCAATCAGCTCTTTCCCTACTCACATCACTCAAGTTATGAGTGCATTGGGGTTATCGACCACTGCAATGTTTTCCTGGCAGATGAATTTAGTTGCCATTAACGCAGATGTCGATAAGCTATGCAAATGTATGACGGCAATAAGAGAGTTACAAATATACTCGCATGGCCAAGTGGCAAACATCAGCTTTCGGCTTACCCACGAAGCGCTCAAAGTCAGTCAGAGGGCGCCTGATTCACATTTCGGTCGCATCAGACAAATATCAGTGCCAGGCCACAATGACGTTGCCGAAAACTGTGTAGCGCATGGATTGGCTAACAAATTTTCGCTCGAGCTACTTAGTATCACCGAGCAAGAGGGGAATTACCTTCTGCAGACTATCTTTGAACTATTCTTCGGCGGATCATCCTCATCTTGGCCTAGAGCAAATTGTGGTACAAACATTTGGGTTGAACTTTCTAAACGCAAAAAATTAAGATTTACTTATTTAAGCTAGATTGAAAGTCCATTGCGAACCTCTGTTGCAAAAAATTATTTCATTGCTCGCAAATTAAAACATAAAATTCAATTATAAATTTGATAAATTTTATCTTTACTTCGTTAATTCAATTACATTCGAGCTGGCAAGTGTTTTTCATTAAGCAAAGCATACTTATAGGCTGCTAACTTTGTTATGCGACTAGTGACAACTTGCTAAATATATTTACTTATGATTGCAATAAACAAGTTGGAGAAGTCCAAAGCACAAACTGCTTCGAAGATTAACAAGTGACCAGCTGCCTTTAACAACCAGAGACTAATATTTTTATAACATAACAAGCCAACACGTCAAAGTTTTGTTTTTTCTTTGCAAGCTACTCTCCTCAACACTTTTAAATTGCTGCTACTAGTTTTATGTGGGCTTCTTTGGCTTCACACTCCATCCTCAGTTGCAACTCAAACTCAGCATAGCTTTTGCAAGTGTCAACACGTGAGTCCCTAGGGTGTAGTTAATTATAAATTTCAGACTTTCTGCCACACCTTAACCCCTTAACAGTCACCGGCACACTATTTACTTTCTACTACATCTTTACAATTTCGTTAACTACAGTTAGTTGCGCATATTTCCATGGTAAAGATAATATTTTTATTAGACGAGAGCTGTCTGTGCAAGTCTTTGGCGCAGGTAATAACAAATATCACTCTTTCCCTCTCTTTTACAGTTACAGAGCGGACTTTGAGTAGCTAATTATTTGCGGATTAAACTTGTCTGCATGCCAAGCAGAAGTAAAGTTATAATAAGTTGACTAGTTGGCTGAAAGATTTTGTAGTATTTACAGGTAAAATGCGTTGAAAGGACTGATTGTATTTACTGCCTTCAAAAAGGTAAACAAGTATTGCATATTTTTCGAAAGTGGATTTAAAGGCTATCATTTTTATTGCATATTTTTGGGTGTTGGTATTTAATGTTGCATTCATTTACAAAACATAAGTTGATTTGTATTTAGAAGTAGCTATACTTTAAAATTCAAAAGCAACTTATTGAAGTGGAGAATCTTCTTGAAAGTAGACACATTTTTAAATGAAAAAAATTATGTACACAAGGGCGGGTAAATTTGTTTACTATGCCCGTATAGCAAAGTAGGATTTTGCATGTAATTCCAAGCAAATTTTGAGCTAAAATCAGTGTGGAGTTTGCCAAATTGCGAAAATAGGTATATGAACATTTTCACTGTTACGCCCTCTGGTGGAAATTTTAAATATTGAGCATATGGTAGGAATATAGCAGCACCAAAATCAGTAAATTTTTAAAAGTGGTGCACAAAAAAACAGGTTCCGGAACCTCTGATTTAAACCTGTTTTTGGCGTTCGAGAACCGATCGTAGGTCGGCATGAAAATCGGCACCGTTACCTTAGTCCGAACTTAAACACAGTTTTCCCGAAATTTCAAAAATTGATTCAGAAGTTTTCTACAAATATG